AGTTCTTGTAATTATTTATATTTATAATAAGTTTACTATTGTAATCATTTGGAGGAAACAATAAAGAGTATCTATCTATCTATCTATCTATATATGAATGTATAACGAAGTATGTATGAGAGGGATAATGTACATATATCTAAAAAGGTGTCATTCATTTAGATGATTATCTATCTATACTTATAATAAATCTGTAGAGAGGTCAATTCTGTACATGAAATATATTACCAAAATAACTATCAGGGGGTGATTAGTAATCGATACTGATGCTAAAAATGCAATCAGTAAAATTTTTGTTTGTCTGTCTGTATGTTCGTTATAGAAACAGAAACTACTCAAGGGATTTTAACGAAACTTGGTACAATTATTCTTCATACTCCTGGGCAGGTTATAGTATACTTTCATCACGCTACGATCAATAGGAGCAGAGCAGTGATGGGAAATATGTCTGTTACATCAAAACCACTGAACTGAGAAAGGACATAGGCTACTATAGGTATATTTTACGAAAAACGACGGAAACGCGGACGAAGTCGAGGGCAATAACTAGTATGAAATATAAATTGAAATTTAATTATTAGAAAATGCTTAAAATTAAGTTTCCTGGAAATAAAAATATTTACATTAATATTACAGTAGCGATATGTCTACGTGTTTTATTACCGGAAAATATAGCACTTTTAATACAGGAAAGAAAATGGAATCTCGCGTTTCATTAATACAATGTAAATCGCAATGTACATGTAAAGTGAATGTAAATTTTTATTACAATACAATAATTCCATAAATTAATTAGGTCCGAAATTTTCGTATTCTTTTTAGTATTCTCAAGGCACTTTCTCCCACGCACAACCATTCTTTGGTATCAACTTCCAGCAGCAGTATTTCCGAACCGATACGACAACATAACCTTCAAGAAAATAGCATATTCCTTTTTAAAAGGCCGGCAGCACACCTGCAATGCCTTTGGTGTTGTGGGTGACAATGGGCGGCGGTAGTCACTTACCATCAGGTGAGCCGCATGCTCGTTTGCCCCCTGTGTTGTTAAAAAAATTCACTTTTGATGTTTTCCAATCGATTTTAAAAAGAAGAAGTTTTTGAATTCTGTTGCACTTTTTTTAATATTTGTTACTTCATAACACCATTAAATTCATTCTCATTTAAGAGTTCACTCTTGTCGGTGCAACTAATTCATGCAACACCATTAAATAAAAACTGAAAATAATATTTTTGTGAATTTTAAACTTTTGCGGTGTTTGCACATATTTTGAAAAACCTTTGCAGGTACTAGGTAGGTAGCACAACTTACATACCTAATGATATACTATATTTTTTTATTTCTTATATTTTCTCTTTATCTTTCTCCTTCATACATATTTATTAATTTATAAATGGCGCAATAAATAATAAATAAATAAACTTTCCTTATGTTATGAATTGAAAAATCGAATACGCTTTTAAACAACACTCAAATGTTACTAATGAGGCATAATATAGTTATTGAACGTCTCATTATGAAAGTGTTAAAACGTAACAGACACTTGTCGTTAAAACACCCAGCTCATTGCTGCGTGGGTGGATAATTTCTAAACCGAACATCTTGTTGTTGTTCGATGTAAAATTTGAACAGTTCCGCTCGGACTTTCACATGAAATCTAAATAAGCGACCTAGGTCCATTCAGTGATTTAGAAATTTAAGGAAAAGTGATTTAAAAATTATCCAACTGACCTAAGGTCGTTAGTGGGATCATTAATTTTGTCGCCAATGTATTGTGAACACTGTCACAGCCATAGAATACAAGTTACATGTAAGCAGTTTTAACGTTTAAAAAAAAATTACTATATCTATATTCGGAGATTCAATAGACAATACAGTTGGTTTTTTCGATGCTTTTATTTTAAATCATAAATCGGTATTACGAAAGTCATGGAAATATCTTAATTTCCCATTTGTTTCAAATATGATGAGACTGAAGAGTAAATTCATTGGTTTTAATTTTTTTTTGTATTTTTTTTATACCACTGAGGTGGCAAACAAGCATACAGCCCACCTGATGGTAAGTGGTTACCGTAGCCTATGAACACCTGCAATACCAGAGGCATTACGCGTGCATTGCCGACCCTGAAGAAACCTCTTTACCCCCCATTTGAAGAACCCCATGCTGTAGTCTCTTGAGAAAACCTCGGCAGGGAGTTCATTCTACAACCTGAGTGTTCGTGGGAGGAAACATCTTTGAAACCGCCCAGTACGCGACCATTGAGGTTGTAGGACATGAGGATGAACACCCTGTCGATGGCGAGCCGTACGATGGTAGAAAGTGGCTGTGGGCATCATATTGAACAATTCCTTTAATTAATACAAATTTAATACAAATTCAATGAAAAAGGGATAGGTAAAGTAGATAGATACTCTTTATTATTTCCTCCATAAGATTACAATAGTAAACTTATTATAGATACAAACAATTGCAAGAAAATATTACACTGAGAAAACAATGGGCGGCCTTATAGCTAAGAGCGATCACTTCCAAGTAACCTTTGGATCGAACCGTTAGAAAAATTTTTGTTCATTTATTTATTTACACTTTATTAATTGTGTACAGTATTTATTATTTAGAAAAATAATCATTACAGTAAATATTAATGAGAAGTGATACAAAAGGCGGCCTTATCGCTAAGCAATCTCTTCCACACAACCTTTGGGTAGAGGACATTGAGAAAAAGACAAAGGGTAGGTGGCGCACTATTACATAGATACTAATATATACATACACATATGTATACTTAAAAAATATCTATAACTATTTAAAAATATCCGTCGGTATTGGTAGTTAACCGTCGAAATATAATCATACTCACGTACCTATTTTTAAATTTGAAATAAATAATCTACCGTATGAAAATTTTGTGTTAAAAATATTGTACGGCAAAAAACAGCAGCAGTTAATTCTGGCAAAAACCAGTTATTATGACTTTAAAACTAAATTACTGAACCGATTTTGATACAATTTCTATGAGACTAATCTGTAAGTATATTTTTTTGGATAAAGAAAAAATACAAATCAGTTTAGAACTGAAAGTGCTATGAGGTAACAAACATAAAAAAAATCGCAAAATATTTTTATTTATTTAACACTTTATTGCACTAAGTAAAAAGAGAAATAACAAATACAGTAAATATAAATGCGAAGTGATACAAAAGGCGGCCTTATCGCTAAGCAATCTCTTCCAGACAATCTTTGGGTAGAGGACATTGAGAAAAAGAGAAAGGGTAGATGGCGCATTATTATATAAATGTTGTCATATACAAACATATACATACATACATACACATACATATATAATATATACACAATTAAATATATACATAACATACACATACTTAACAGAAAAAAAAATAACGAAGGAAAGCGAAGAGAGAACACAGGAAAATAGTACTAAAGTGAGAGGTAGTAAGATTTAACAGAGGTTTTGAAGCTAGTAAGAATTTGAGCACAAATAGAGGTAGGTAGTGAGTTCCATAGGCGGACTGCCTGAACAGTAAAGCATTTAGATCAGAATTTAGGATATCATATATAATATACATAATAAAAAGAAATTACCGACTTCAAAAAAAGGTGGTTCCGTCCTTGTTTTAGAAGTCAATTAAAAAAAGTTCCTCAAAAAAAAACACTGATAATGAAATGATAACGGCATGACATTTAAAATTGTAAACAAGATCTTTTTTTTTTTATTTCAATAAACGGGCAATGTAATGAATACTAATAAGGCATAACGTATTATCGATACGGATAAATTGCTGGGTACGCGATCATCGCACAAATGACGATCTAATGATTGTAATTACTGATTGTAATCATTAGCTGTGAGCCGGAACGACAAATAGTAGTGATACACGCGACGCAGCGACACACAGTTTTAAAGGCGATAAATCATATAATTTTTTTTTACGTCACTTAGAACAGCAAACAAGCTGACGGTCCAGCTGATGGAAAGTGGTAACCGTCGCTTATGAACGCCTTTACTCACATACGTTGCCATTCCTGTGGACTCAGGTGTTATGCCTCTGTACCCTGTAATTTTATTGCCTTATCTCAAAAATTGAAATACAGCCATGTTATTTCATGACAGATATATGAATGGGAGTACCCAAGCAGACGACTTTTGTAGAAAGTTTCTTTTGGAAAAATTGTTGATCATCCAAAAATAAATATGTAGATGCAGATTAATATTATCGTTTTAAATTATGTTGAATAGTAACTGTTGTGAGTCATACTGTCTTGTAATAATTTAAGTCAACTGTACTTACTTTTTAAATTCGAGGATGCCCGACTAGTTCTGGACTTGATAGGAGTTCTTATTCAAGGGGGAAAAGAGTTGTTAGTAAAGGTAGTAACTGTCCCAATGCTAATAATATAATATGCTATAAATGTAATAAACACTCACACGTACATACCTACAATATACGCTGTCGAGTCGACCTTCACGCGGTTCCACCTGGAACCAATCGTGGTTACGTGGTTAATTCTTACGGAGTACGTCACGATGGGCTAACTGATCTGCTCTCATTCTCAGCTATCATCTCTCATAGATGCCCCACTTATGGCGCACGTAGGGTTACCGTTCTATTACTACTAATTGAGAATAAAAGAAAGCCCTTTCCATGAGCGCGGTTCAAGGCTGTGTCGTTAATTTGCAACAGTAGTCGGAAAATCCCGAATTTTGAAACGTAAATAAGCCGATGTCTTCTCATTTCTCACTGGTACCTCACCAGTGTATATCTGTAGCGTAGATGGTGTTACCATCCCAGTTTCTCCCATAAAAGCACCATTATAATTACATATATTTTTTATTTTTTAAAATTACATCCAATTTATATGAAAAGGTTTTGTTGGAAGAAATCGCTTATTAGAGATAAGCTCGCCTTTGTACATTATGTTTATAATGAATTGTGGTTAACATATTTTGTGTACAATAAAGAATATATAATATTTTTGCAGAATGCGGAGTGCCCTTGAGGAGACACACGCGGCAACCTCGCGAAAGGTCAGCAGGTCAACTCCGCATCATCAAAGGGAGGGAGTCCAAGCGAGGAGCATGGCCCTGGCAGGTACTTATACTTACTAATATTAGAATGTGGAAGTGAGTTTGTTTGTTACCTTGTAATGTCTTAAGGGATTAACAAATCACTATGAAGTTCGGATTAAAGATTAAATATTGGCCTATATTTACATATCCGTAAGGAAGGAAAGGAGTTTTTTTTTTATATATATAAATATATAATTTATTGCACTTGAACAATAGATACAATGATAAGTTTAACAACTAGTTAACAAGGGAGGGCTTATCTCTAAAAGAGATCTATTCCAGTCAACGCAGTGCAGTTAGAGAAAAAATAATTAATTGACGGGTAATCTAGTGCAGGAAAGGTACAGGTAAAAATAATGTAAATATAACAAACATACACAAATTTTAAATAAATAAAAAACAAGTAATTAAATAAATAAATTTAAACTACTTTGGTGGCAAAAAAGCATGCGGCCCGTTTGACGCCTGTAATACCAGAGATGTCATGCGCGCGTTGTCGACCCATAAGAAACCTTAATAAATCTTCTTTGAAGAACCCCATGCTGTAGTCTCTAGAACGGTTCCGAGCCACCTGCATCTACTGACTCCTTGCAATGCATTTGTGGATATCGCTACATCTGGTTTCGACTTTGCGTTTGCCTGTACTACCTGCACCACTCAAGAATCTTTCTTCCCCATCACTTGTCGATTCTTCAATTTATGTGACCAGCCTGTTCCACTTTAGCTTGCTTATCCTTCGGGCTTATTAGTCAATTTGGTCCTTCTGCGGATAAACTCATTATAGATTCTGTCACGCAAAGAAACTTAGAGTTAGTCCTCTCCATAAATTATTTTGAAGATGAAGGTTTTTGCCCAGTAAATGTTGTCAGAGATAACCTACGGAACTGAAACATGGTCTTACATGGTTGGCCGTATGTAGAAGCTTCAAGTGTCACGTAATATTTTCGCCACATTTGAATCCATTATAATTTTTTTAAGAGTTATTGTATAACTTGTTGATTTTCAGGTATCACTGCAGCTTCTCCATCCGAACTACGGCCTCATTGGACACTGGTGTGGCGGTGTGCTGGTTCACCCTCTATGGCTCCTGACCACAGCGCACTGCATACATAAGTAAATAGTAATTTGCTTGTTTATTATCAACAATATATGTTACTTTTTTTATTGTTATAGCCTAAAATCCGTTACCGTTAACCAACGTACCACATTCCTTAAAATCATACCGCGTAGTCCCTGTATTGTAAAAGATCACCAAAACCTTACTACGGTTGCCAACCCGCCTGCAAAACATGGCAATTATTGGCAAACTTTCCCAACAGGAGAAGGTCTATTTTCAGTAGAGGACAGTTCATGACTGATATGGTAATTGTTCAAGATGCAACTTGATAATTTCTTTTATACAACTTAGAATGGCAAACAAGCTGACGGTCCACCTGATGGAAAGTGATAACCGTCGCCTATAGACATGAGCAGTACCGTGGATATAACAGAGTATACTGTTTCGCCCATGATACCTCCCATGCGTTGCCATTCCTGAGGACTCAGCTGTTATTCCTCTGTACCCAGTAAATTCACGCTATATCCCACCCTTCAAACCGAAACATAGCCATGCAAACACAACTGCTTCACGGTTGAAACACGAATGGGACAGAGGTACTCAAGCAATCGACTTTTGTACAAAGTCTCCCTTTTGATGATATTCTTAACATCCTTCAAACTGAAACACAGCCATCAATAACGGGATATGGCAGTCAAATTAAAGGGTACAAAGACTTTGCTCAGAAATGGCAATGCATGAGGATTACTATAGACATCACTGTATATTCCGTAACATCCATGCTGCTGATCATGTGTATAGGCGACACCATGGCACCATCACCTATCACGGTAGTCTGTCAGCTTATTCGCCATTCTAAGTATCATAAAAAAAATAGTTATTTTACGATAGAAATTTAGGTTAGTTAGAGATTATTATTAGATTACCTTTAATAAGATCTATTTAAACATATTTCCATATCTCCATTTACAGTGAACTGTTCAACCTGCCAGTACCCGCGTTGTGGACGGCAGTGCTCGGAGAGTGGGACAGGGCTGAACAGAAGGGAGCCTACGTGCCTATCGAGAGGATCGTCTTGCACCACCGGTTTCACAATTACCAGCATGATATTGGTTTGTAATTTATTTATATACATATATATTATATTCATCACCATGTGGCTTCAGCATGGAATTAGCCATCCATTCTTTTTCCGTGAGTGTCGTAATAGGCAATTAAGGGAATTTAGTGGTCGAAGAATGGATAGCAGCGTCCCTCTTAAAAACAACGCCAAAGTTTAATTGTGGTTGTCAACCTGCATAGGGGGAGGTTTATGTATCAGCAGTGAACAATTAACGATTGGTATGATGATGATATTATCATTAGTATTTACTCGTGATTTTGTCAGTGTGGCCGAGATTTATTGACCTACCAAGGAGGCTGTGGACTCCTTCATTCCAAATTTTTACAAGAATACCTTCTTGTATTTGCATTCATAGTAGGTCGTCAACTCGTTTGCCATTCTAAGTTGTATAAAAAAAAATCTCCATACAAAACTGAGATATTACTTATTTTGTATAATAACTAATAAAATTTGATGATATTATGTAGACAGGATAAGGTAACTAATATGTAATTAAATAATTTAAAAATTTACCGTATGACTCTATTCAATGTAAATCGACAAATATTGTTCTATGTTTCAGCGCTAATGAAAATGACCAAGCCGGCGGACGTCAGTCCCGGAAGTAGAATTCGTACCATATGCCTTCCTCCGTTCGATCCGCCAATTGTCAACTATAACACAGAAAAGAGCACATCCTTCTATCTACGACCGCAATCAAACATGGAACCACCCAGAAGGAAACCAGCGAAACCATCAAAACCACACCCGGACACGGCGACGAAATATTTAGAGAAACTCAATAATTTAACTAAGAACATATTTTCTGGATTCACAAATAAGAAACATAAGAACTTCCGATACAACATCAGAATAGCAAACGATTCAAACAGACAAACTGATAGAAAGAATGAAGAAGACGTATACAGAACTAATGATAATCAACACAGTGGTACAGTTTACGATAGTGCAACATTAGACAGTGTTATAAAACTTATAAGAACTAAACTAGACAAAGGGAAACATATTGTTAATGTTAATGATAGAAGTGATAAAAAACTTATGTTTGGTGAAGAAATAGATCCTTTTATTGGTGATTATAATAGTATAGACTTTCGAGACGAGTGCTACGCGACCGGTTGGGGTAGAGAACAAACTAATGGGACGCTTACTGACGTACTGTTGGAAGCTGAAGTGCCAATACTACCGTTAAAAATATGCAGAGACAGATATTCATTGTCTCTGCCGTTGAATGAAGGGCATTTATGTGCTGGCAGTACTGACGGTAGCACTGGTGCTTGCGTGGTAAGTCTGAATTTTTATTTCTAATATTTTTATGATTTAAGAATTTGTTGCTTAAAAATTAATTGTTGAGGTTAGCAAATAAAATCATAGAACTAACACGACAAAACGAGGATATATTTATGTGTTTACAAATGCTTCGAGAAAAGCGGCTCAACTTTTTCATTCAATTTTGCGTGATAAACAGTTATGAGTGTTTCGACAAATTACAACTTCTTAATTTTTAATATTTATTTTGATTATATTTATAATTTTTCAAAAAAGCGGGTCAATCAATTTTTTTTAATGTATAACTTCTTTATTTGATAAAATAACTCTAAAACTCATTTTGTTTATTAAATAATTAAATATAGATACGTCAAGATACATTATGTGCGCAAGTATATAGAACACTGATAAAAAAACGAGACAGCTAATTTGATAATTATCTGACAAAAAATAGACCCGTTTTCGAGACTCGATGCTCCATCTATATGATCGTTATTAAAATACAACTTAAGAATACCAGTAATATTTTAATTAATTTTTCTGGCATCAGAAATAAGATTCTGTACAATAACTTATCACTGAGACTGTTATATCAAGTATTATTAATATTTGCCCAATAGTTTCATCTTGAACTTACAACAGGGCCGTAGCTAGACCCAAGTTTAAGGTAGGGCAAAAAAACTTTTTGGTAGGGCAGAAGTCACAATTAAATGATTTCGATAAAGCGAATCTATCTATTTTTCATGGGCCTTTCATTTTAAGGTAGGGCATTGAGCCTTGTAAGGTAGGGCGTTGCCCTCCCCCCCTCAGCTACGGTCATGACCTCCAATAATTAAAAATAAGATTATATATGTGATATGCCTACAGACAAATAAATGAGGACCTTTTTTGTAGTCTTAATAGACTATTTAATTAATTATTAATTAAATATTATTTATTTCATTATTAATATAATGTGACTTTGTTTATAATTTTGTTCTTTTTATCAATGATCTAATATAACCGTTTAAATAAGATCAGATACGATGATAAATTGAATGAAAATTCATAGCCATTAAAATAGCGTTTTAATGTTTTGTTTTATTTGTATTATCCGTATGTTTGTCTTGTTCCAGTCATGACTTGGCAATTTTTAAAGATATTTTCATACTTTTTTTACATTCTATCATTTACTCGCGACTTCGTCCGTGCAGTCGGGATATGTTCGATGACTAGAATAAAAAGTAGCCTATATTTTCTATGTTCCATATAGTATGTGCGAACTAAATTTCATGATGACTGGTTAAGCAGTTAAGGCGCTACATACATACATACATATCTGTCACGTCTGTCTCCCATTAGGGTAGTCAGAAACAATGGAACGCCAAATGCTTCTATTCAAACAAACCTCTTTCGCTTCCTCCACATTCATCAATCTTTTCATACACGCTCGCCGGTTACGGGTACTTTTAATTTGGCCCTTCTTCAGCACGTCGCCTATTTGATCGACATATGTCTGTCTAGGGTATTATGAGGTAATAAACAAACAAGTTGTAATAAAAACAATGAGATTTAAGTATAAACTCTTTTTAATTCTATAAACAAAGTATATGACATGAATAAAAAGTGCAGCCATACACGCGATAGATTCAATCAATCACTCTAGACCGATGTTTCCCAACATGGGGCCCACGCCCCACAGGGGGCAATTTGATAATTAAGGGGAGGGGGATTAAAAAATGGACTCGAAGCGATTTAAACCCGGGCCACCATTTAAATGCAATGCTACTAGTAGATATCGGTGCCAAATTTAACAAAAAAAGTAAATAAAAAAAAATTGTATATTATATATATTAAAATTGTATATTATATAGTATTAGGCAAATTTCATTTGCCGTTACCAAAATATCAACTGGGCGATTAGAGTCGTCAAGTAAACTTTGTCGGGAAAAATTATGTATGGGGGCATAAAAATTTTAGAAATGTTCAAGTGGGGCATGGCACAAAAAAGGTTGGGAAACACCGGTCTAGACAGATAGAACCACAGAGGGCAGTAATAATCAACTAGATGGCGCCGCATGTAAAAATGTTTTTCATTTCTGTATGAATTATAGTGTATTATTTAATGTTCAGGATACTAAATCATATAATTACCATTCGAAGTTGTATAAAAAAACTCTTTACTTTTCCAGGGTGACAGTGGTGGCCCTCTCCAGTGCAGAACGGGGGGACGTTGGGAGCTCCGTGGTCTGACCTCGTTTGGGTCAGGCTGCGCACGCCGGGGAGTTCCAGACGTTTACACTAACGTTAAACATTATGTGTCATGGATATACACACATGTATACGCTACCTAGTCCATTTTACAGGCAATTTAAACGGTATATTGAATACGGCCAGTTGACTGTAACTACATATAAATTATCTATCCTCCAATACAAAGAACATTACGAGCTTACCGAGAATTTATATGAAATTGGCGTAAGCTATGGAAATTAGCTTAAACAGCTACAATAACTTTCCCATGTCATGTGTGACAGCAGTTTCAATAGGTTATGTTAATAATAATGTGACACAATTTATCGAAATTATTAAAAATTATAATTGAATAATTATAATAATAATAATTATGTTACCATAGGTAACATAATTAAAAGTCGAAATTAGATTCATTAGATAAACTAAATCCTATGTGGCATAAACCGAAAAATTATGGTGGTTTTTCAAATAAACTTTGATAGAGTAAGTAAATCATATTGTGACATTTATTTTGATATTGTAAATCAGTTTCGATGTTATAAGTAAGCATGTGTGACATAAAGCAAAGCTGTTCAATTCTGTTTTGATAGCTTATTTATTTAAATAATTGATTTATATATATATATATATATATATATATATATATATATATATATAAATAAGTTATTTCTGTGCCTCTATAATATTATGAAATATAGTTTCTTTATATATATATATATATATATATATATATATATATATATATATATATATATGAATCAGTCGATTTTATTAACCGTGGTAAGTAAAATACACATCATTGTTTTTCTTCAATACTTCAATAAAATAGTTTTATATAAATTTATCATAATTTTAATATTTTTGAGTGTGAAGGTATAATTTATTTTTAAAACTATAGGTTTTACACAAAAACCGACAATTTATGAAAAAATTACTATAAATGCAATCATTGACTTGTTCAATTAGCAATTAATATTTTTTTTTCTTTATTTAAAATATGAAAAGTGACCATTTTGAATTGAACCCTTTCTCACTAGAGGCACAGATTTATGTACCTAAATCAGATGTGACATAATCTATTGAAATGATTATCCAATAAATAGTACACAAAATGATTTATTTAATTATTATTTTTAGTGATACGGCTAATGTAAAGATATTTTGTACATGGAAGCAGAGTAGATAGACATTTTAATGGTTTCTTTTATGGAAGGAGCTGTTTTTGGAAACGTTACCAATTATATTATTAAGTGTAAGTATTAATATAATCATTATAAAGATTTAATATCCCACTGATGGGCATAGACATTTCCTCTTATGAGATAAATAATATTATAATCGACAATGGCCGCGCGGATTTATATTGAGTTTTCTTTACACAAACAATAAATCTTAACGGTGTTAATATAAGTAAGATTACTTTAAACAAGCTGTTCTCGTAATTTCGCCCGCGTGGTACCTCTTCGAAATAAGTCGATTTCTTTTAATTTCCTTTATTTTAATAACATACTAACTCAATATACCATTATTAATAATGCATTATTTATTATCAGAGATTAATTATTTTGTAAATATTAAGTCTAGTCTCATGATTTTAATAAGTTATAATTTTTATTTTAATTAAATTTATGTACTGTAAAATAAATTAAATTATATTTTTAATATAGAATATGATTATTGTAATTGTAAATTTCGTTCCATGACCACTCAAAGATCTGTGATTAATTAATTTATATTGTAAATATATAATATATAATTAAATTATATTAATAATATGGTATTTATTTCACTATCTCTTGATGTTTTTATTTTCATATCCACTACATACGTTAGTTTATTTTACATATTTGATGTTGTTATTATAGAATAATAGTACATTACTGCAGCGGCCAGCAACTGAGGCATTGATCCAGATGAATCCAAATGTGGGTCGAGGCGTAGCCGAGGCACACATACGTGAGTCCATTAATGCCTAGTTGTGGCCAAGGCTTGTTTATTGCTTTTCTCAAACAATGCGCGGAAATTAACAACACAATTTTACTTTTTAAGGTTAATGAGGAATAACGAACAATAATAATTTTTCAAGCGCCACAATGTTCCTTTGTTTTTTTTTCAATAAACAGCTTTCTATTTGCAAGCCAGTTCGAAATTTAAATAAAACCTTGTATTAGTTACATCCTTGGTAGCCATGTTTCGAAGTAAAAGGTCATTCCATTTTTAAATTACACGACAGATGTAAGTTTACATAGTAATTTATCTGGCCGCAAAACATGACCGATATGGATTTTCATACAACTTATGCCGGCCGCTGCCCACATGTATCTAGCCAGTACGGCAATTTTGATTTATCTCGAAGAAGATTGTCAAAATCATGCTCACATTTCCAAGCATGTTTGAGAAAAATATATTGTTTACACAACTTAGCAGAAAGGAGTCCATAATAGTAGGTTTAAATATATAGAAAAAGAAAACAACATTCACCTTAATTTTTTATTACAATAAGAGCAATTATGCTGCGTACAAATTCAGTCTATTTATGTATTTATTTTAAGAATATAAGTAACTAATATCACAACATAACTATATTAAAACAAAATATAATATTTTTAATAATATTTCTTTTATCAAAACAATTATTAATTAATTCTAATAAAAATACCTAATCATTATGAAAAAGGACAGATAACAAATTTCAAAGAGTTTAACCCGAAATATATATTGTACCAATTTAGAATAATTTAAGACTTAGTGTTACAAAGAAAAACTTTAATGTTGGCAACACTAGAATAATATTTTCTATTTAAAAAGATTCATTAAAATTTATTTAGAATTAACAGAAATGTAGTGAAACGTGGTGAAACAAAGATACTTTACATTTTAAGTCAGGGTTGGTGTCTTTACTGAGCTGAGTTACAAATTAAATTAGGTACAATAAATTAGGTGAAGAATTTATTTATTATCTATAGAACTAACAGAGAGAAGTGCATCTCCCACTTACCAGTAAGAGCATCTTTTGTTATGTATAATAATAATTGATAATATGATAAGATTTTCTTAATTAGAAACATTTTCAACAACAAATTAAATATGGGTCACATTTGATTATAACTTTAATTAATACATATTATAATTATGAACAATAAGTTCTAGAATGTAATATATAAAAACATATTACGATTCCAAATATTTGGGATAAGAGCAAAAGGATAATGAAGTCCTATAATTAAACTTCGTTAAAGTAGAAGTCATCAAATTATTTGCTTTCACAGGTACTTTTATTCTCTGTTTCTTATGAACCATAAACCATGTTAATAACATAAAAACATTAAAAGAGTATAGAGGATGGTTTAGAATTCCCTCGTTAGGCAACTCCACCTTAACAGATATGTTGGCTGATCCCCTCAAACAAGTACCAAACGTATTTATCGTTAGATATGTTATCGCTACCGCTTGCATGTAAAGAAAAGGACAACGATGGTCAACGTCTTATTATTTTTTATATGAGCACTAAAGATAACTTATCTATTGATAGATTGGCTTACCACATATTGAGGGTTTTTTTCATGAAAAAAGCCTTTTACCCATCAATATAAAATAATCCATAACCTGTATAAATTAATTACTCAATACTTACACATAAAAGATTTTAAACTTATCAAATAATTACATTATCTATTTCATTTATAATTATTATTTACATTAATAATATTACTTATATAAATTTACAAATTATTAATAAATTTACAAATTATTAATAAATTTACAAATGTTCTACCGAACTTATTTAAAGATAATGGAATTAAACAAAATAATTCTAATCGACTAACCAATTGATTTACAATTAACATCAACACATTGAGCAACAAAATTGAGCATAATTTGGAATTTGATTTTGGATATATTTAATGTAAATACCATCCACCAAATAACGTGAAATTATGTATAAAACTCAACAATTCCATTAATAAAGGGTCATATCAGCCTTTATCTGTCCACTGCTGAACATAAGCCTCCCCCTTGGATGGTTTTGCCAGTAGTTGCCACGCTTGGCAGGCGGATTGGCAATAAAGGGGGTATTTGTATGAACAAAACATGTAAATATGTAACGTATATCAGAGTCATAATACAGACTGAAAACGCAAAGTCAATGACTTGGAATTTATCAAACTATATTAGAAACTAATGTTAGAAATAAAGGCATTTTACTGATTTTAAAGTGCTTCACTCTCATTAATTAATGATGCTACACTTATAACAGTGTAAAAAATAAAATTTTTTTAGGAGTGTAGTTTTTTCTAGGTTTCAAAATAACAAGGAACTACATTTATTATGGATACATCTAGATTAACTACATGTACAGTTCAATATTACGTATATAATATTAAACACAAATTGACCGGTTTATTACATTGATAATAACCTAGAACGGAGGTCGTTTATGTAAATTTTCATATTATTTAAATTTCTTAAATATGTATTTTATTAATTATAAAATATTTGACTCGTTTTAATTATGATTTATGTATTTATTATAAGTTGAACGTATCTAAAGTCATGGATCTCGCCCAATTGTTTATAACACTAAAATTGGTGTACAATTAACCTAGTTCACACTTCTATTTGTAGATAAATATTAAAGTAAATGGTAAGTTATGTTTTGGTAGTTACTAACAGTACATAGATAGATAGATAGATAGATACTCTTTATTGTTTCCTCCAAAAGGTTACAATAGTAAACTTATTATAAATATAAACAATTACAAGAAATAATCACAATTAGAAAACAATGGGCGACCTTATCGCTAAGAGCGATCTCTTCCAGGCAACCTTTGGATGGAGAGGAGTAATTATAAACAATTTGGTAGGAGGCACGATGAAAAATTTCGTTAGTTCTAGATATGGGAGATGTAATACATATAATAATATAAAAATTATCCCTACTGTACATATATTTATTGATTTCACATTACGATTATCAAATGTTTTTTTTTTTTATACAACAAATTTGTCATGAGATTTAATTAACCCAGGCAATTATAAACAATGTTAGATACAAAATATTTACTATATTAGTAGGCTGCATTATAAATAGTGTACTATTTTTATATTTGGAATGGCAAACAAGCTAATGGCTCGCCTGATGGAAAGCAAACCGTCTTGTTAGACAAAAATAGAAACACACCATAGGATAATCAGTTACGTCCATGATATGCCTCATACGTTGCTATTTACTAAGGATTAAAAGGTAATGCTACCATATCCTAACTCACTATCATTAAACACAACGATATAAACACAACCGCTTGGCGGTAAAAAGGACTAGTTTCCCAAGTAAATAATAAGATTTTTTGAACGTGACTGCTGGACCAAATAAGACCAAACTTGGCTCTATCGTCACAGAGTATCTACTTAATAATAACGTCACGAACAGTCGATTAACAACTGACACAGTAAGTATCTATTTAATTAATAATTAAATTTAATTATTTCATAAAAATCTCAAAAAAAAAAAAAACTATAATACAAAAATCAATTGAACTAGTAATATCATAATTTATAGCTAATTTAAATTTTAAGGTTTAATTCTTTGATATCTTAATATATTTAAAATTTGTACTTGAAAATTAATATAAAATAAATACAAGACAATTTCTCATAATGACTAATAATGTATAAGTATATAATTCATAATTTAATTTTTAATTAGGATTGGATTATTACTTATGTAGTATATTTAAATTTTGCATGACATGGACAAAAGGAACTTTCACATTTATTAATTTATTCTTTTATTAATCCAGTTATCATAAGAATAAATAACCATGTAGAATCGACTCTCTCGTAAATTAAAAAAAAATAATAACGACAATGCAAAATGGTTAACATTATTATTATTTGGGATAAAACGTTTCAATATAGATACTTACATATTTGAAAAGAAATATTAAATGTAAATTGAAATATAAAAAAAAAAATGATTATAAATAACTAAGATTGAGTTTTTAGGCATTATCTAGGTCTACTAATATTTACAAGCATCAACCGGCTCCAGCCTTACGATTGTCTCTGTTTACCTCATTATACCTCAGAATTAGGTGTGATGATATGCCATACGTAGGAATTTTTAATCAACAGATTATCACTATTCATAAATCATTCAATCAGGCAACTGAGTAGACAATAAAGTTATTGTACAATTTTCCGAAGGTTCATCTTTATAAGCTTTATCGTTTCTGATGAAGGCATTATTTTTGTAGTCGCCTTCTTGTAATTCTGTATGGGATGGGTTATATTCTACCAGTCTGTAGCGGGGCTTGTAGATCCTGTAGAAGCCATGAATGCCGAGAACAGCCCCAATGATGAGCAGCAGGATTTCAACGGTGATCAGTAAAGGTGGGCCAATTTTGAAGCGCAGGTTTAACAATGTTAGGATTTTCGGTGGGGGAGATTTGCAGCTCTGTTAAAGAAAATTAATAGTTGTTTACATTGCCAATAATATAAGAAAGATGGAAAGAGAATTAAATCCAAATTTAAAACTTATTTACGCAAAGCGAGATGACCATGATTGCTCTAAAATTTCGCCATAGCTTATCAGTAAGCAGTAGAGGCAAGAGATCTAGTTTTATACTTATTGTACATAACCTGAAATAGAAAATAAAATGACGACCTGCTTGATGAAAAGAATAGTTGATCATAGACATTCGTGTCTATAAAGCATCATGGGTATTATATAATGCACAGCTATGCCAATTGGGCATCATCGTGTGTTACAATTCCTTATGATCCTTCCATATCTTGTAATTTCACTCCCATATCTCTTCAAATCGAAACAGCAGTTTCACGATAAAAGTAAGTATCATAGAGGTACCTAAGTAGATAAATAGTTAATGAGGAAGAAGTAAGTGAACTTACCAATGAAAACCAAAGTATGGGGAGGATTTTATCCTTTATCGGTTCAGTTATGGGATTTCCTTCGGACATTCTCACTGCCAGATTCACTTGCATGCTTATTTGCAAGGATAACGGTACGCCAATACTCTGAAATAGCATTGTAAAATTAAATTCCAGTTTTTAATTGTGAATTTTCGTGAATCAGGATAGAAAGGTGTCATTATTTATTATAGGCCTATAGCAGTCCACTGTAAGATGCAAGTCTTTCCCTAAATGTTGTTTATATGTTGATAAATTTTAAACATCTAATTGTACCCAACTTTATACATAACTTTTAGGAGGCACTTCATCTTACACTCGCCCGTACAAAGAATCCTGTATCTCCTATCGAATCCAAGATAATTTTATAGCCAGTTAAGATATAAAATTTCGTCGGATCAAGACTGTCTAAAACATTTTTACAAACTTTCAAATTATTATATTAGTAAATAATATATTATTATATTAGTAAATAATATATTATTATATTCCTACATAGCATAAAAGAAAATTGCTTCCCGTCTGTCTGTTCATATGTATACTTATATCTTTAAAACTACGCAACATTTTTTGATGTGGGTTTTTTAATAGATAGAGTGATTCAAGAGGAAGGTTTATATGTATAATACATGTATAATATAATAGAGAAACAATGATAATTTTAAAGGTTTCTAATGTAATATTGTAATGTAAGGAGGGGCCGGTGAGGCTATTTAGTATCAGCATTGCACCCGTGCGAAGCCGGGGCGGGTCGCTAGTTTATATATAATATTGATATCATCTATAAGGACCAGTTAATAGTGTATTATAGATTGAATCCTATTTCTCGAGTGCTACCTATCGAGTGGTGGTCTCACTGGAAACAAGCGCTGCAGCACCACGCTGCAGCTTAAGCTGAGTGGTGACCATTTCAGCTGCTACCATAGAATGATTATTTTAATGTATAAACTTGTCGTTAGTATATTTTGTAGCTTAATTAATGATTTTGTATTAAAAAAAAATAATTCCCAAAAAATATAACTAAATTTGTATGCAAACAAAAAGTTTCCTTGTTTGTACTTATATTTGTTACTAGTAGAATTCCGCGGCTATGACCGCGTGAGTCAATACATAAAATATCCTATATGTTAAGTTACGATATACAGAGGTAGTGTACTTAATTTAATTTAAATATATTCAGTAGTTTTTGTGTGAAAGAGTAACAAATAATCATCCATTCAATTTATCCTTACAACCCTACTTATTTATTATACTCGTATTAACAGAACTGTAGTCTAGGGTTGGGTATTAAAAAAAAAATATATATATATATATATATATATATATATATATATATATATATATATATATATATATATATATATATATATATATATTTTTTTTTGATATAATAAACGTATTAAATATCAATTGTCGATTATTTAATATTGTAGCACCTTATTAAAATTAATGTAGATATTTATTTATTTATTCTATATATATGGCATTCTCTACCAGCTAACCATTGGGTCAAAACAGAAAGCGTATGAAGGGCAGATGTGGTGAATAATATGTGACAATTATTACTATAATGTGTTACTACACATTAAGGCAATACACAATATAAATATAATATACACATAAGAAATACACATATAATACATAAACATTACTTTTAATATATATGGATAAACTAATATATATATATTCGACTGGTGTATGTGATAACGAAGTGGTTGACCTTTCCGCTATCAATGTCTGGAGAAACCCATGTTATAGATATTAGTGTGGTACCAATATTACCCATTATAGTTATTTTAATAGAATTAAAAAAAAATATAAAGTAATGAATAACTGAGTCGACCATAAAGTAGTCTACCAATGTTCGGTACAGTGTTATTGTAAATGATTTTAACAAAACATGGTAATGTTTTAATAAATTCTATTGAAACAAACTCTAATATTTGCCTTGTGGTCCCAGCATAGGACAGGCCATCCCTTCCTTCTCCGTGGGTGTCGTAAGCGATTAAGAGAAGACGAGGGATGAACAGTAACGTCCCTCTAAAACATATCCAAAGCCTAACTGCGGTTACCAATCCGCCTGTCAAGCGTGGCAACTACTGGTAACCCCCTCCCCCGCAAGAGGAGGCTTAAATTCAGCAGTGGACAGTTAAAGGCTGATATGAAACTGTAATATTTATTAATTTTATTAACTTACAGGCACTATGTTTAGGTATGAAACATGCTTTTCGGGATCTGGGTTCATTCCTTCATAGTAACTTCTTTGTACTGGATCTGCGTCGAGCATATGCGGTTGCGATAACACGATGGGGAACCCTAAATAGATGATACAATTAAAAATATAAATAACATAAAGTTACAGTATCTATATCAGCAGTATCTTGAATCATTAACAGCTTCTCTGAACTTAATTGAGTGTAAGCATTCTTTCAGACATCCTCGGCTATTCGGTATTCCATCCACCAATAATAATGTCTCACATAATAACCCCATTCATCGGATGTGTCAATTGTATAACAAAATTAGCGAAAAAATCGATATCTTTCATCAGAGTACTATTGGGTTTAAGAGGTCGTTGTATGGTTTTGAGATGGAATAAGTTTGGATTTTTTTTTTTTGGATAGAATAAGTTCATAATTGTAATCAGTAATATAATGTATATCTATAAAAATGTATAACATTTACTTATAACTTAGTGTTAAATGATGTTTACAATGTAAGGTTGGCAAACTGCATATTGATAAATTTTTGTATGTTTTTTTTTTAATGGTTCATTTCTGTTTGCAAACTGTTATTGTGACTTATAATAAATAAATAAATATATTGATGTATATCTATATATCCATTCGTATATCTGTACTTATGTTTGCATGGTTGTGTTTTGATTAAAAAGGTGAGATGTAGAAATGAAATTACAGGGTACAGTAGAAACACGAATGAGAGAGAGGTACCCAAGCAGACGACTTTCATACAAAGTCTCTCTCTGGTGTTATTCTTTTAAGTTGTATAAAAAAAAAAACAGTATTAATTCCTAAAAACCAGCCTACAGCTCGCACTCAGCGAGCCAAGGCACGCAGTCAGGCTCGTCCTCGCGTCACAGTCGCTCATGACTAAGGATTCATTGATTCCGGAATGGCAAAATCTTTAATTACTATATTTTTGTATCAATAATTCCCTTTATGAAAATATACCACTAAGATATTATGTATTATCTATTTATGTATCAATGTTTTATGTATGTGACGTATTTTTTTAAATTAGGGTATGATGAGGCCGACATATTCTTATAGGATAAAAGCCTCTAAATAAAAAAAAAAAGATAAAAAAAAGGATTGATTGATTCCGAAACTAGTCGAGCTTTTTCTATCTAATTACAAGAAAGTTAAACCAGTAGTTATTGTATTAAAATATTGAACTCACCGTAGTAACAGTTGCCGATGTCAACGAATCCATTCGGGAGACAGTTATATTTACATTTGCATACATATTCAGAGGAGTTATCGTACGCAGTTCTGTCTATTGTGTACCTGAAATATATTAGTTTTAAATAAGCATTTCAAATTAGATAGATAGACAGACATATATATATATATATATATATTCTTTATTGCATTTGTAAGTTACATATAAAATAATCTATTTATAAATGTTGTGAGCAAGCGTGGACTTATCTCTGACAGAGATCTCTTCCAGTCAACCCAGTACAGTGAGAAAGCATTTATATATATATATATATATATATATATATATATATATATATATATATAGTTTATATTCCTTGCTGATAATGTAGCTTTCTATATGTGAAAGAATTTAAAAAATCGGTTAAGTAGTTTTCGAGTTTTTTCGAGTTCATCCATTATAAACAAACATACAAATAAATTTTACTTATTTATTACTATAGATTAAAAACCTACGATTATAGTAGAGTAAATAGTATATGTATATATAATGTAGACATAGAACATCAATATGAGTATCGTTTTTGACATTTGACAAATCAAAGAGTAGGCAATAAGTGGGTTATGATAAAAATATATTTTTTTTATTTTAAATAACCCAATTGTGGCAACCCTAACATTTGTCGGCACATCAAAAGAGTTTTCCTTCTGAATACAATATCTATTCTGTGGTATAAATGTACATTTAATTATACTAACATAATCGATAAAAAAATAAGAGGAAAATATGTTTGTTTGAACGCACTAATATCTAGAACTACCAATCGGTTTTAAAAAAACATTTTGAATTTGATAGCTCATTTCTCGAGGAAGGTTATTAATGTTATTATCACGTTATAACCACGAGCAAAACCGCAGAATACAGTCAGTTAGAACTACAGTAACAGTTATATACAATGTAGTAATCACCTGTAGTAATTGAAACCGAATTTCTCGTCGGTTTGCTTTTGAAAATGAAAAGGTAAAATTCTGCACGCAGCTCTGCGGTGTATTTCGATCACTTTGTCCGTGGGCATGTTTGGAGCGTACAGGAGCCCTTCGTAAACACCTTTGATTCGGTTGCAGGTTGTACTGTGAAAAAAAAAATTTAAATGGACTTCTAAAAGAAAGAAGTTCTGAATTCGGTTGTGTTTTATGCTTGTTACCTCATAACTCTATTGATTGTAAACTTATTTGGAAAAACATTTTTTACCTGAAAGGATATTATTGCAGATTGGTTTTCTTTTTTTACCTCATAATCATTAATCAATCAGTACATATAATAAAATCGTAACTGGTCGCTGTCTGTACATGAAAGATATATAAGAAAAACTATTATAGGGAGAGCGGAGGGGGGGGGGGGGCTATATAAACGCAACAGAACCCAAAACAATGATTTTGAGAATTTTGTCTCTTTGTCTGTACGTTTGTGCACGCTAATCTCAGAAACGGCTTCACTGATTTGAATGTGATTTTCACTAATGCATTGCGATTTGCTCCACTTAACATTCAGTGTTTATTTTATATCAATCGGTTCATAAATAAAAAAGTTATATCAATCTAAAGAATCACATATAAAATGCTATGAAAAAGCATATACACGTAGGTAGTTTATATACTGATTCACGCGAGCGAAGCCGCAGGATATTGCTAATGATAAAAATATGTTTAATTCCAAAGAGCGACTATTTCCAGCAAAAATTCATAGAACAGTATGTACATAATTGGATTATACATACATACACAGAGCATATAATCAGGGTTTTTTTTTGAGGATGCAAAAGGTATGGTAACCCCGGTATACGTCGATAAGTCGCCAGTGAAGGATAATAGGTGAGCATGAAGAGGCCTATCGTGATTAATTCGTTAGGAATTATGCACGATGGTTTCCAGGTAGACTGCCAGGGTATATACATTGGTAGTACAGCAATACTGCTAGCAATGGGGTTGGTAGTCCTAGAGGGAGGAGGTATTGTAAGTAATGCAGACTATTGGTTCCATCTACCCCTGAAAATCATTGTGCTGAATCGACATTTATTCGTCATTCGATGTATTAACTAACTTGCCTTTTCATTCTCACTTATCATCCCTCACTGGTGCTCTGCCAGCGTATATTGTTAGCGATGGAAAGGTTACTATTCCATTATCAACCATTAAAAGAAACCATTACTAGAATTCCCTTACTCCCTAATTTTACTTTAGGCAACATTCACTGTTTGGGATATAGCATCATTCACTGATTGGGAGTAAGGGTTACATTAGATTGGTAGTTTCATTATAATAAATTTTAAATTACTTACCTAGTGTTCAGGTCTTTAAAACCCTGTTCAATAATGCCAGGCGATCCGTTCCATTCGTTCAGAGTGAACTTCTTGCTTATATCGCCCAATTCTACTTCAATTTCGTCGTGTTTTTTGGCGTAAATCTGCAAAATGTAATAAACCTTATTTATATACATTATTATCATCATCATCATCATCATCATATCAGCCTTTAAGTGTCCACTGCTGAACGTAAGCCTCCCTCTTGAGCGGTTGTGTCAGTACTTTTAACGCTTGGTGACCGCAGTTAGGCTTTGGAGATGTTTTAAGAGGGACATTGCTGCACATCCCTCGTCCACCCTTGGTCGCCTCTTACGACACCCACAGGAAAGGAAGGGGTGGCCTATTCTATGCTGGGACCACACAACACTATTCATTATTATATTAGCTGTTAACATCAATGAGAGTTTCGCCAGTAATTGCCACGCTTGACACACAGGTTGGTAACCGCAGTTAAGCTATTTATATCCACATTTTTACTATGACTATAAAGCGAAAGAGTTTAATTATTTAGACGCGTTATACTGGAAGTAGCGGTTAAATTTGAAAATGCTTCCGTATTCGATAGCTCTTTTCTTGGGGAAGTTTATAAGCTACCCAATATTACGATACGACCACGGGAGAAGCCACGGGATACAGATAGATATAATAATATTATTTATATGGTATACTATAGAATGAAACAGAAATCAATAGCGTCTGTTGAAGGAAGTGTTCTGTCAGCGATACTGCATATTTTCACAAAGCTAACCATGGGTCAATAAACAACTAAAAATGTTTGGGCCTCCCATATTTACACAGCGTGTTAATACTAGAATATTCTATTCTATGAGTCAGCCTTGTTTTGATGGATGTTAATGGGATGGTAGCCCTGCCTAGGCTATCGATATACGCTGGCAGGGCACCAGCGAAAGATAAAAGGTGAGGATGAAATGGCAGGTCATTTAGGTCATGCCGTCGGAGATGTGGTGAGTGCGAAAGCGAACCCATGTCTCCGACATATGGCACCTCGAGGGTATATCGTCTGGTTTTTGGTGGGTACACCCCCACCTTACGGGGGGCTTCCCACAGTACCCATTCACCTCCCACAAGGCGTATGGGTCTGCATAAAGCATTTTCCAGACGTTAAAAAAAAAGGTCATTTAGGTCATCGTGATGAATTCACTAGGAATTAAGCACGATGGTTTCCATGGGGGATCGTAAGGAGGTCAACTTGCCAGGGCATATTGCTAGCAATGGGGCTATTACTAACAATCCCTTCTCCACTCCTCTATGGATCAGTTGTTGAATAAAGTTTATATAAATTTAAGAGTAAAATATTTAATAAGTTTACATACCCTATCCAGAATTCCAAGTTTCTGGAAGTCAATCCAACCAGGCAGCAATTTATTCACCACCTTCACAATATTATCGTCATATCCCCATAGGATTTCGTCGGCAGTCATTTTCCTGAAGAGCTGTGATCCTATAGTTTTAATGGAGTAGTAGACTCCAGAATTTATAAAATAGCTGAGTTTATCTGCAAACAGTGTACTCATTGCCTGAAATTAAAAAGAGAAATATTAATGAAAAAGAATAAAAACATTACTGTCCAGAAAGGCAATTCTACCAATCTTGGTTATGCTCTCTGGATAAGGCAACACGCTCCACGGGTGTTCTCCTCTAGGGATCTGTCGGGTTTTAAAATAAAGGCACATTAGACCTTCCAAGTCACTGCAGTTTATGACCACTATTCTTTCTGGTTGAATATTAAATTTTAATATAAAATTCATTTTAAAAGTAATAATTGCATGGCAACACTTTCGATAGTCATTTTATACTCGTATATGGCAACAAATTAATCATTGGAGGTAGAAGGAAAAAAAAAAGAGTTCGTTCTCTCAAACAGAAGTATAAATTTGTTATTACTATTTTTCAACATATCGGGAATTTTATACCGTTGTTATTGTTGATATAAATTACGCAAATAGTCAGCTGGTTTATTTACTTATATGCAGTTTATTGAACCTTTTATAAAAATAATAAATTTTAATGAGAAGTGTTACAAAAGGCGGCCTTATCGCTAAGCAATCTCTTCCAGACAACCTTTGGGTAGAGGGCACTGAGAATAAGGCAAAGGGTAGGTGACACACTATTATTCTATCTAGACAGCAACTTAGTAACAATTTCTCGTTATCATATTTTCGTGTCGAATTTATTTTTGAACCTTATCGTTGATGTGCATCATATTCTATTAGAGTGTCGTATTAACACGAAGGAAAGAGAAGAACTCATACGCCACTTTAACTTAAATAAGTTTAAATGTTGGTCTTATTCAATCTATGTTAGCTGAACTTAAACTAGAAATTTTTTAACATCTCTGTAAATTATTGATGCCCATTAATTCTTCTCTTTCCGCGTCTAGGGAAAGTAGATAAAGTTTTGTTTGAGAAATCAGTTCAAGGTACGATAGGACTGATATACCTGAAGAAGGTAAAAGCCCATAAAATAATAATAATAAAAAAAAAATCGTACAGTCAATAATCATATTCTCAGATATATCATATATATTTATTTATTTATTTTGACATAGCCACAGTAATACAATGCACATTATATTCACTATAATAAGCTTTATAACTAAGTAATTGTTTTAAAATTGTACACCGTTAATTGTTAGCTTATACTAGTTTCAATATTATATACAATAACAATAGCATATAAGAACAATTATATATTAAATTCAGAAGCTTCTTTTACCGTTTTAAGATATGAATTTATACTCTGAGCACAAATTAAATCTTCTTTGCATGATTTTTTTATTGGTGAAATAAATCAAGGTGATATAATTCATGTTCAAAATTAAAGAAAAAATGGTTAAAAAATTAAATATAACAGCTATGTTTTTCTTCTGCAATGCACATTAAAAAGGTATCCAGACACGATCACGTTAAAGTGAACTTGTTCTTTTATATAATTTTTAGGCATTCAATGTTATGATGGAAATTTTCACCATTATGCAAAGAAGGGTTAACTAGTTTTTTTTTTTTTATATCTGTGATACATGATCATATTACAGATATAAAAAAATAGTTCTAATAAATTGAAACACTATAATAAAATATTATATAACATAGTTAAATTACATTAATCGAATGCTCATTGAGAGAATGGCAGGGCCGTAGCTAGACCCAAATTTGAGGTAGGGCAAAAAAACTTTCTGGTAGGGCAGAAGTCATAATTAAATGACTTCGAAATATCGAGTCTGTCTAATTTTCTTGGTGTCTTCCATTTTAAGGTAGGGCATTAATGCCTTAATGCCCTCCCCTCCTAGCTACGGCCACGGGGAAGGGTGTTGTTAGTAACAGGATTAGAGGTCCTATTTTTATTAATATAGCGCCTGAAAACTTTTGTTTATTCCTAGTGAATAAGTCTGGATAAGTCAATAAGCTGACTTTATCATCAATCAATTATAATATAGGAATACTTACAATAACTGCAACATTTGGCATATACAATTCTACATCTTTGGGATCTGCAATGGACTTTTCTCTAATGAATTCCAATTCTATGTTGGGATTGAAAGTCATCACGCCGCGGTCGGAGTCAATAGTAATATTCTTATTAGTTCTGACTTCCCTGCAAAATAAACAAAATAATTCTGTAAACATATTTATTAGAAATTTATTACAATATATCTTTGTCTCATAATATCCATTCAATTTCTTTGTTTGTAAACTACACTTTTTTTGAAAAAGCTAGAATTGAATTTGTTACCCGTTCTGAGCGGACGGTATTTTAATATTAAATGACCATTTTTTTAGAGTAGGTATCGGTGTTCTTATATCACATAAAGTCTCGTGTCTATTTAGCCATTACAAAATAGCATGCAAATATCACATTTTGATAGGAACTGATTAATTTATACATCGACAACTATATTGAATATTTATCTATTCTTTTTTGAAAAATTCCTCTAAAGAGTTAAAGCTTTTGTTAAGTAACCATTTTGGTAATACAATTTTAAATTTATTTAATGATAGTTCCTTTATATCTATAGGAATATTATTAAAGATTTTTAAACACATCATATAGGAATTTCTTAATAAACGGCTTGTTTTAGGAATTATATTAGTCACTAGTTTTTGAGGGTATCTTGCGCTTATTTGCTCTTTTGCTTCTGTAAACATGTGCTTATTTAATTTAACAAATATATATACATATACATACATATATATATATATATATATATATATATATATATATATATATATATATATATATATATATATATATATATATATATATATATATATATATATATATCCAACAGCAATAATAACAGGTAAAAAGTAACTACAAAAAAAAAAGAAAAAAAAATTTGCTAGTAATAGAAGCTGTCTTTTACCCTATTAGGTCAAACTCTACGCGGTTCCCCCTAAAAACCATCGTGGTTAATTTGCGATGAATTTATCACGAAGCGCCAACTGATCTGAGTTCATTCTCATCTACTCATCTCATCATTCACTAGTACCTCGTCATTAAGGCGGTTCATTGCAGGTGGCTCAGGATCATTCCTTATGGCAATCTATGGGGGAGGCATATGTCCAGCAGTGGACGGATAATGGCTAGAATGCTGATGATGATGACCTCGCCATTACACACCTACTATTCCAATTATATCCTATTAAAAAAAACACCATAATCAACATCGTAACTTACCTATAAACAAAAGGTCCTATTTCCTGTAGCTTTAACACCTTGTCCTCTCCGGACAGGTACTCAGGTACGTTCGTATAATTATACACCCATGTCTCGGTGCAAATTTCGTAGGGCAGATCCTCCCATACGTGATAAAGGAAGGACCCTTCTCGTATCGTCAAAATCTGTAATTTAAAGAAACAATTTTATAATCAAACAAACAGATTTTGTGAGAAAACATTATCTGTAGCTTATCTAATCCTACAGCCATACAGTATATTCGGTTATTTATTTATTTTATACTTTATTGCACCAAATAATAAATAAAGTAAAATAAAGTACTTTAATACAGTAATAACCATAGTTACAGTAATTGTGTATAATACAATTACTGTAACTATGGTTATGTTGAATAAAAAAAAAACTTGAATTGTGGCAAAAAAGGATATTTCGATTTAAAATCTTTTTTTTGTATCCAACTTAAAATGGCAAACAAGCTGACGGACCATCTGATAGAAAGTGGCAACCGTCGCCTATAGACACGAGCAGTACCATGGACATAACAGAGTATACTGTTTCGTTCATGATACCCCCAATGCGTTGCCATTCCTGAGAACTCAGGTGTTATTCCTCTGTACCCAGTAAATTCACGCCATATCCCACTCTTCAAACCGAAACACAGCCATGCAAACACAATTGCTTCACGGTAGAAACACAAATGGGATAGAGGTGCCCAAGCAATCGACTTTTGTACAAAGTCTCCCTCTGGTGAGTCCGGTCCCATCTAAACTACTAAACAGATTCTGATAACATTTCTAAGTGACCAATCTTTTCAGAAAAAGAAATAATTTTACAAATTTGTTTACAACTGACGAAGTTAAAAGGTAACAAACAAAAAATACAAACGAATTGAAAACCTGTTTTTTTTTGAAATCTTCCGAATCGTATACGGATATATCATACCGGTATTAAATTTATTATAAAACATAGATAGATAGATAGATACTCTTTATTGTTTCCTCTAAAAGATTACAATAGTAAACTTATTATAAATATAAATAATTACAAGAAATAATCACAACGAGAAAACAATGGGCGACCTTATCGCTAAGAGCGATCTCTTCCAGGCAACCTTTAGATGGAGAGGAGTAATTATAAACAATTTGCTAGGAGGCACGATAAAAAACATAGTGTTTTCAAGTTTGTCCGTATCAATGTAACGGCCTTCTGTTTCTTAGAAATTTGCCAAACGATCACCTCCAAGCTAAATACAGTGGTTTACGACTCATAGGCAAACCAGATAAATAGTTACACAACAAATAATATTGTAGGTCACAGTGACCCCAAAAACTTGCTACGAAGTCCGCAGTAATGTCTAATAGCAACAGGAATAACCTTAATAATCTTATAATTTATTTATTATTTCAGCCGTTGACAGTCCACTGCTGGACATAAGTCTTTAAGCCTTCCACATAAGGGGAGTTTTGTCAATAGTTGCCACGCTTGGCAGGCAGGTCAGGCTTTTAGGCTTTTATACATGTTTAAAGAGGGACGCTGTTGCCCATCTCCCTTGCTCTCCATAGTCGCCTCTTACGATGCCCACGGGAAAGCAAGGGGCAAAGGATTTAGGCTTTTATACATGTTTGAAGACGGACGCTGTTGCCCATCCCTCGCCCTCCATTAGTCGTCTCCTACGATACCTACGGGAAAGCAAAGGATGACCCATTCTATGCTGGGACACACATAGCAAATTTTGTAAATTTTTCTTCAAACCATTATTATAGATTTATATTTAATAAAATAAAATAAAAAAAACAATCACCGTCTTACCGCAAAAAAGTTAAAATTGCGATAGACAAATGCCCAATATATGTTTAGACGTCTTACTAAAGCATGTCTCATATTTGTTCATTTTTGGACAAAATAAATTGTGTCCTATTAAAAATAGAAGGTTATAAATTTTATTACAGTAATTTATAGATTAAGACATATAAAATTATAAATAAACATTATTATACGAACTAAACAATGTTTAATCGCTTAGTCAGAGTTTTGGTAAACACTGTTAAGAAAGGTAGTGTTTAAAATTACTTTTGTTATAAGATTATTGTTTTAGTCTAACAGAGAGCAGTGTATGTTTTATTAAAATTGTCTTAAATAAATATTATAAAGAGAAATAATTTGATTTTCTGTTTACAATTGATAAACTCAAAAAATACTATGCCGATTTTAAAAATTCTTTCACCTATACAAAGCTACATTATCAACGAAGGATATGGGTTATATTTTATTAAATAAAACTATGCGAAACCGGGGTGAAACACTAGATTGATCCAGTTAAATTACTCGCCATATTATCACCAAATGAAATGCAACAGACGTTGCTAATATGCGATGTTTTGTTTATACTAAATTCGACCTTCTGTTTCAGAGTTCATTACCATTTGATGAACTTGACTGCAATATTTATACGGAAGTTAATAGACATAAAATAATCAGAGGTCATCAAATTAACATTCGATTAATTTAATTTTTTTATGTGTTTATATTTAAGATACAAGATCGAGGTGTGAAGAAGCGAGGTAATGATGTATCTCAAAATAATAAAAAAAAAAACAGATTATCATTAAAATTGGACTTTTATGATTATAATGACATTCATTTATCATTTCATTTTAATTTAAATTGTAAAATTTACCTAGTATTAAATAAATTAATTATTAACTTATTACAATAATAAACATCTTTTATATTTCATTTATTATTTTATATTTTATATATTTACTATTTGTGTATAGATATATGTATATATATATATATATATATGTTCCTTTATATTTATATTTATTTATTTAAACTTTAATGCACAGTGAAATTATGTACATATGGCGGACTTAACACCGGACGGTGTTCTCTACCAGTCGACCATTGGGCGAACAGAGAAATAAGTAGGCGGTGCATTACTGATTTGAAGGAATATAGAAGATAATACTATGTATGCATATTATAGTCATTATTTTATATTATTTACATATTATTTATAAAAAATAGGTATTATTTTCACTGTTATTTACCTATCCCAATAATGTATGTAGTACCGCGTTCGCAATTCACTGTTCATCCAAAAGGTTGTCTGGTAGAGAATGCTACTAGCATTACCACCTTTTGCACCATATTTTCTTTTGTTCATTAAAATTGTTTAAAATAAATAAACAAATCTTAATTCTTCTACTTAATTGTTATAATTTAGTTGACGAGAAATTAAAATTACGTATAGTATGTAGTACATACAAATATTATATATCCAATACGTACATTTTTATTTAAAAATAAAAAACGGAAATATAAATATAAAAATTAATAAGGAAAATTTATATAAAGTTGTTCATTGATACCTTCTAAGTATTATATAAGTCATTCGTTTAAACTGATTCATAATTTATTTATCACATATATACTAATATAATGACAAATATGTTTATATACGGTTGACATTGTGTAAATGCTTAGATGTATTAGCAATAACATTGCGAAGGACTCGATTTTCTTGTTTGCAGGTATAATATACAAAATGTGTTTGCTATTTTCTTAGAAAAACCATCAGATTACCATCACCATCCTTACCGGAGGGAGACTTTGTATAAAAGTCTTTTGCTTAGGCACCCCTCTCCCATTCGTGTTTCTACCGTGACACAGTTGTGTTTGCATCGCTGTGTTTCGGTTTGAAGGATGGGATATGACAGTTAATTTACAGGGTACATAGGAATAACACCTGAGTCCTTAGAAATGGCAACGCATTATCATGGGCGAAACAGTACAGTCTGTTGTGTCCATGGTACTGCTCATGTCTATAGGCGACGGTTACCACTTTCCATCAGGTGGGCCGTAAACTTGTTTGGCATTCTAAGTTGCATAAGAAAAAAGCATTTGTGCTGACTTTTAACTGGATTTAAGAAGGCTTTTGGTAGATAATAATTATCAAAGGTTAGACTTAGTTTATCTGTTTTTAATTAAATAGAGTTTAAAATACTCTTAGAGAATAAATGTTATTTAATTGATGTAATAAAGTTAATTACGTTTAATAATAGGCGAGGGAGTTTTTTTAAAAGGTGATAATGGTATGGTAACCCCGCCTGCGCTAACGGCATACACTAGCGGGGCAAGAATGAAAAAGCAGGCCAGTTAGCCAATCGTGACGAATTCAACGATAAATTAGTCCCGATGGTTTCGAGGGGGCACCGCGTGGAGGTCGACCTGATAAGGTATATTGATAGCAATGGAGACTAACCTCTCAATTACTAACAATCGTTCCCCCCTGACTTTTTGCTTTGTAATATTACTTATAGCAAGCAAGCAGGTATCATAACATTTGATTCTGAAACTGCTTTTTCATTAAACATTCTATAGTTTTCTTTCAGCTTTTCAAGGGTTGACTGTAAGAGGTCCCTCTATGGGATAATTCCACCATTATATATTAAATCTTTTAATGTGTCCAATGTAGATTATGTACAATAAATATTTTACAATACATTACAATTATATTAAATTAAAATTACAAAAGTAATGGCGATTTATTTATTTATTTTGTTTTTCTAAATGCAAATAGCTGTACATGGCGTAGCTAACATATATAAGGGCAGTTAAATTTATTCAATTTATTATTTCAAACTACCTATTATTGGTGTTATTCATATCTATTATTATTGTTTTATATATTTTTAAATCATATTTATCATTTGTAGTTTAACCTTAATTTGTATATTTTCTTGTATTCCTTATAAATTTATTTAAGAAATTTAATTATGTAAAATACGGTAGCCTGACCTTCATTACATAGGACTTTCCCAGCATGGAGGCCAGAAACGCTTACTGGAAATCAATATATAATCTATATGTATCTTGTAATTGTATCTGTATATTTTTGTAAAATAAATTATTAACCAGTCTCCTAATTACTTAAGAAGTAAATTCCAGTATCTTTTTGAAACTCACGAACGTAACCTTCGTTCCAATAATACCCTCCAATTATCTTTCCCCTCTCACCGTACTGGTTACGCCTCAAACTCTTTTCTCCTACATTCTTCACGACTCTGGAACGCGCTTCCTGATGCCATTAAAAGACTATCGACTAAACCGTCTTTCAAAAAAAGCGTTCACGCTCACTTTTTATCTTTATCCGAGCAGT